GGAGGGTGGGGTGTTGCCCCCTCCCTACAGCTGCCTTCTCCCCTTCGTCTTCTCCTCCTTATTTCTCTGTTGGGGTGTGCACGTGGCTTTGGTTCTGCAGTCCTGTTTAGAGTGCACACACACTCACACACACACTCTGTTTTTCCTCATTCCTGTGCTTTTTGTTTTTGAGAAAGTTTTCTTAGAGTTGGCGATGAAGTTTTCTTTTATTTGCAAAAGTTCTGATTAAGTATGTTTTGTTTCCTTCACTCCTTCATTTTGACTCTGATGTATTTGGATAAACCGTTTATTTAATGTGCAACTCAAAATGTTGTCCTCTAGAGGGCAGCACATCCCAACTGAGGCTACTTCACACACTCCTGTGTGAGATGGGGTGGTGAGGAGATCGATGTACAAATAATGTACAAGTACTGAGGTTTTTTAAAATAAAACTATATTTGAAGTTTGTTTCCAGAATACAAAACTATCGATGTAATCAATATTCAAAAATCAAACAACAGAACATCAAACATTTATACTGTAAAGTGTTATTAGGAACAATATTTTATTATTTTATTTATTTTATTTTATTACTTTTTATTATTTTTATTTTATTTTATTATTTTATATTTGCAGGTAAGCTAGCATAAGCTAATCTTATCAACAACAACAAAAAGCCTGGAGTTGATTTCATTCAGTCAGTGACGACCGTCTCTTTTGGCCAACCAGCTGTACAAGACAGAAAGAAAGAAATAAAAATTGCCTCTTGGATTGGTTGCTGGTTGCTAGCTGCCGTGTTTTATCAAAATTTCATTCTAGAGTGGATAACATCAGATAATTGTTGCACTCTTCAGCTGCCCTTTCTTCATCGCACCTTTCAGCAGCTCCAGTAGTCGACCAATTTCCCTTCATGCTGCCTGGATCTTGGCTTCTAGTCTCCTTCTCCTGCTCATGTATATGAGAGCCGAGCATCTCAACGATGATCAGCTGGGTGCTTTCAGTTATGGTCACACACACGCACACGCACGCACGCACACACACGCACACACACACAGGTATATATACATTTAGCATAAAAATGAGAGTAAAAAATTCTTTGGGGTTTTGTTTCACTCTTACATTCTGAACTTTTAATAAAGAATCATTCAGGGGACTGAAACCTGAAAAGCGTTTTCCTCTAACCGTGTAGAAGTGCTGGATCTCTATTATTACCATTGTATAGCATATCTGCTGTGCATCTTGCCTCAGATGTCGAGTGTGATCACACTGTGTTGCTCTCCCACACAGCCTGCAGATCTGCAGCCTACACACTGATCAGGGTTCAGAGGTGGGTCTGTATTAGCAAACAGTAGAGAAGTGACGGACCAGCAGCAACTTATCTGAAAGCACGGAGGGCAGGCGAGGACGCCTCGGCCTCCGCACACACAGAGGCATGTTCACATGTACAGTACAGGTGTGCGGGGATGAAGCTACAAGCTTTTATACAACGTATTTAACCTTGAAACATTTGCAGTGTGAAGTGTTGTATGTTTTATGATGGACTGTGGCTCAGAATACTAAACCTTAACAAAAGAAAATGTTGCGTGTGTGACCTTGAGGTCTTTCATGGCTTCACAGTTCACAGAATCTGGGCTCTGTGTAGGCGGATTTCAGTTCTTTGGACTTGGACTTCACCGAGCCTCGAGTTTTAAACAGAATTATCATCAGTGTGCTTTTGGACCAAAGAGTGTTTGGGTTACCATTCATGTACTACTTGGCAATAGATTGGGCCTGCACCACAATCAGAGATTAAGGTGTTACCCTGTTTTCTTTAGATTTCTGGACTCACAAAGCTGACTTCTAAAGAGCAGATTATCATGAAGGTTTATGGTGCATGGCTGACCTGCTTCACAGGTTCAGGTAATACAGTGACAGAAGTCTTCAGACCAGGCACGAAGCAAACTTGTTGGACACAGACAGTTTTTGTAGTTTTACTTTGTACATCCTCACGGGGAGTTTCAAATGTTACAGTCGAGACGGGAATGACCAGAATGTGCTGTTTGCATCAGATTCTCCGTGACCTTCTCAGCAACAGCGTGATACGTAGCCAATGTCACCAGCAGCCCTCGATGGAAGAGCTGATCCAGAAGCGACGACTGCAATGGTTTGGCCAGGCCTGCCACATGAGTAACCATCGCCTGCTATGCTGCCTTCTGCTGCAGCAGCGCCCCGCCCACTGGAGAATCAAGCGCGATGCGCCCAAGAAGAAGAAGAAGAAGAAGAAGAAGAAGACTTGGATCGAGCAAATTGAAGACTATCTTAAACAACGATGTCTAACCCTCGAGCAAGCAAAGGTCAAGGCCAGAGATCACAAGGCCTGGAAGTGCATCGCTGACCAAGACGGAAACCCTACAGGACCCACAGTCACGACCAGCAGTTGGGGACAAAAGAAGAAGAAGAAGAAAAGATGTCTAACAGACTGTAAACATCTTAATTTCTGCTGCAATGATGGCTGTTTGAACAGGGAGTCTGTGGGGACTGACTCAGTTTTGACTGGTAGGAGGAGCTTGGATTGTGTTACAGGTCGGCTCAGAAAGCTGCTTATTCAAAAACCTCTTTAAGTAACCAATCCAAGTTTTTTAGGACTGAAAAAATCACAAAAAATGTGCTGATGTGACAAAAGGTTGAAAATATTTAGAGCTGTAGTAGCTGTTCTTCTGTACGGACGGTGTATATGTACACACACGATATACACAGCTTCATTTGACATTCGCCCACGGAGTCAACCGTGCAAACATCAATCTGTACAGAAATGCATGTATACACTGAAGCTAGCCGCGGGGATAATCACAGCTCTGATGCTCCTTTGCTGCCTCTTCAAGACACTGCACACGCAAACACTGTAACGTATAAGCACATTACACACCTACACACACAACAACATAACTGTATAAATCATGGCATTACAATCCACGCACACACCTCATCCTCCCACTGATCACTCCAACTAATTATACTTTGCTGAACTCTCTGCTGTTATAAATATGTGCAGAGGAGGACAGAGAGCAGCGCCGAGTTTCTGAGGGATGAAACTGATAATGATCGTTGTTATAATAATAATGAAGCTCCTTTGAGTTCATAGTAAGCCTAGCTGGTATTCATATAAAATATATAGTAGTAGGCAAAGCTTTTGACAGGCATTCATTTCATCACAGTAAAAAAACACTTTCAGACTGATCTGAGTAACGATTTAATGTCGAGTCTTACAGAATATCTGATGTTTATCAGCGTCAGTCACTGCTACGCTGAGCTAAGCACCACCATGAGCACCGGCTGTTGTAAAGAGTCATCATGTATGAATGTTTACAGGCTGTTGTAACACTTTACACTGGGAATGTGAATCATAGCTATCTCCATAGGAGCAAAGGGAAAAGCTTTTGACTTTAAGAATTAAGTCATGAGACTCTGAGAGAAGACGCTGGTGTTTCTGTGAGACACAGCCAAGAGTGAAAGTGGACCATTGATTCCACATTTCAAAGCCTCGACTTTAGCGCTGCGGCCTGCCGCTCGTTGGTTTGAGACCGTGATTGGATGAGAGGACGTCAGGTTCCCGGTGTTTGCTGCTGATGCTTCTAGTTTTTGTGCTGGGCTACTTTGGCTCGTACTGGTCCTCGCTTCAGTTAAATACGCAGATACAAGAATGATACCAATCTTGTGCTGTTTTTCTTCCCACTAGAATGTGATAATTCACAAAATGCTACTGTTATAAATCTTTTGTAAAATATGAAACGTTTGCTGGTAGAACTCCTGCAGGTCTTTGTTCAAACACCACTATGATGCCACACGTGTGCGTTCTCAGAGGACAGACTGTAGATTTACTGTTGGAGAAGCTGCAGCTCTACAGAAGTCAGATTCTTTTTTTTAACTTGTTTTCTCTGCGCTGACCTTGAAAACAATCTTGGAAACATGGAAACATGCAGTAAGGCTGGATCTCGGTTTGGTCCGTGTGCTCAAATCTATCGATTCCCATAGAGAAATATGTTCTTTCCAATCAGCTTTTACAGAGAGAGTAGGAGGGAGGCAGAGCAGAACACAGAGGAGGAGGAGGGTTATGAAAAGATCCAAACATGGAGGATGGAAGAGCAAAATTATGGTGAGGTGAACGGTTGTAACAACTTGTTACAGAAGAAAACAAATGTTTGCTTGTTTCCATCCAGACTACAGAGTTTCATATTGATGTTTCAGTTGGATTATTGGTTACAGCTACCTTATGGTGGAAAAACACATCTGGGGGCATTTTGTAAAAGAATACAAATCTTAATCTTGATGTTTTCTATTATACGTTACTGTAGCTGCACAGATGTCATTTATGATGGTTATTAGTATTTGGCAGCAGGATGTAGCTGTGCACTCTACCTCACAGACAAATGGTGATGCAATATGATATTAAACCTTAAGATGTTAAAATATTAGCATTTATTTGTGACACCAACAGTGCACCACTAAAATGCTTTCTGTGCATTAAAAAACAATGTAGACCGAATGGTAGCATGGGTGATGGAGCACACCAATAGGAGGTAGAGGGGCCGGAAGCTGAGCAGGAAGGGGCTGCAGCAGGTGCAGCAGCAGAGGTGCATGCAGGACTGATTAATCGAGCCATCAGAGAGTGTCACAAAGCCAGGAGGTCTCACTCTGGTGCGTTTTCACCCCCTCCTGGTTCTTAATGTTCAGCTTTGTGAGATTTTGTCCAAGTTTGGAATGAAACACAGAAAAGGTCTCAGAAGTTCAAAACATGAAGGGCTGACATGCTGGTGCCACAGCCTACGTCCTGCTGACGGCTCTAAATAAATGTTGCAATTGAGTTAAACTCAATGACTTTGATGTCTGTGTTTGGCAAAGGACCAAAGTATTGTGTTGTCCTCCAAGTGTGCGTGTCCCTGTAGGTCTAACATCACGTGAAAACTATTGATTGACCGACACCAGCTATATTACCATGGTAACCCAGCCATTCAGTAATTTAATCAGCTGTGTTGGATCAAGGACACATGTAAAACCTGCAGGACAGCGTCCTCGAGGCCTGGAGTTGGACCCCCTGTGTTAGTGGATGTGAGGACAATCAAAGCAGCCGGTCAGCCAAAGCTGAAGCATTCCCTGCATTCAGTATGAGCCATTAAAAAAAACCTCAGGTACAGTTTTACACGAGTCTGTGGAGACGGACTCAGTTTGGAGTCAACCTCAAGCAGCCATCACAGGAACTGCAGGCGCGCGCGCGCCTCCGCCTTATCTTAATGCTTCCGCCTGCTTTTACGGACAGAGTGGTGCATCCTGTTGGATGTGGAGGATCTTTTGCTCCGTCTGCGGCCACAGCTCCCAGCAGCGGATCGCGGTGACGGAGAGTGTGTGTCTGTGTGTGTGAGATGGGGATTATTCTCATTTCACAGCAGAGGACAGAGGACGAGGTGAGTTATTCCCAAGTCCTTCATGAACCTTTGCGTAAAGGCGACTGTGTGTGTGTGTGTGTGTGTGTGTGTGTGTGTGTGTGTGTGTGTGTGTGTGTGTGTGTGTGTGTAACGGCTGTGATGGACCGTGCGCGCGCGCGCGTATTTTCTGCCGTGTATGAATAACCGCAGACATCAGAGAGCGTCAACTTTTCATTTTGGTGATTTATTAAAAACAGTTTTGTCAGCTCTGCTGTCACGTTTGAGCGCTCGTGCTGTCATCGTTAATTAGCGCTGGCGGTTAATTGGCTTTCCTGTCACATAGCGTGAAAACAGCGCGCGCAGAATGAGACCATAACCGAAAACATTGTCCTGATCTCCGCGGAGACGCTCAGAATCTGCGATCCGCTGTATCGATCCTCTGAATCATGTCAGCAGCCTGTAGGCCTGAATCAGCCTGTACACGAGTCCAGTGAAATCCTCACTGTGATGCGTGTGAACTGACCCTGCGCTATTAAGTGTGGGCCTTTCATTCAAATTACATATGATTTTATAGATGTCGCAAACTGTGCCAGTGCAGCTTAACTGCAGCCACCGAGCTAAAGAACCTCTAATCTTCTTATCTCAGGTTATTATTTAATGTCATAACTCTTATGTGCTGCTTCTGTCATTTATTGATGTAAGGTAGGATTAGTGAAAACCGAAACGTGGTGCAGGCCTGAGGGGTCAGAGGCTGCTGCTGACCAAAATGAGAAAAAGTCGACTGTAATGAGAGATGAAAGACCACAAGGACACACGAACCAAATATGAAGAAGGATCAAATCTGACTGGAAAGACCACAGACTGTATATGAAGGATGGACATAGGCACTGTGAATGAGGTTCTGTTTTGAGGCTAATGTGAGAAATGTGCTGCAGCTCCAGAAGGTGGGAAACACAGTAATCGCATCACATTTGTTTCCATGTTCCTACAGTTAACTCAGATTTGTGTCTGTGGGCTGTTTTTCATTGACTTTGCTGCCAGATTAGTGGTAACACTTAGATAAGCCAATAAGAGAAAGTGTTTTTGTATGTTATTGTTAGCTGGTATTTACTGGAGTTGCGGATACACATTTACATACTGTCATCATAGGCGTGACTGTTTTGCTGAACTGTTCCTTTCACCGATCAGATGGTTGTACAGCATGCATCCTTAATGGCTTTAAAATGCATGAATTTGGTTCACAAGTTTGAAATTAATTGTATTCTGAGGTAATGAACACTTAAATCCAGCTGTGATGTGTGTTTGGGATCATTGTCCTGTTGGAGCACCTAACTGTGTGATTTCATCATTCTGTCCACTTTGTCTAATGCACCAATACCACAGACAGCAAAGCCGGAGCTTGATGCTACCACCACCATGCTTGACAGTTGTACGCTCTACAATCATTCCACTCTGGAAAAGGAACAATAAAAAAAAATGATTAAAAGCCAAAGTTACTGATTAATATCTCCAGCACAGTGTTTATGGTTCCTTCACTACACATAATACCAGAGACAAACATAGACTGTATATGAATGATGAACACACGTTGACGTTACCCAATGGTTAGTGAATTTTTGTTGTGAAGACTTAGTCTGAGCTGTCAATGAGAATGGGCTGCTTTATATGCCCTTCTCACGCTAATACCATTAGCAGCCTGAAACTAGTGATTTAGCAGAGCGGTCTCCAACCCCGGGGCCACGGACCGGTACCAGTCCATGAGTCGTTTGGTAACAGGCCGCAAGAGTTGAGGCTCGGGTGTGAAATTTATGGTTTTCAGGGTTTTTATTGTGTTTTTTATATTGTTAATTTGGTTTCCCTGGGTCTTTTGCCGTGTGTTATGAATAAATCTCCTTTTATTCGGTACAGATACTGGTTTTATTTTGTTGTATTTATCCGCGACACGTTAAAGGCGGGTCCGTGAAAATATTGTCGGACATAAACAGGTCCGTGGTGCAAAAAAGGTTGGACTGCTGATGTAGCCCATAAACTCATCAGGAAAGTGTTCACTGGGTGTGATCAGTGCAGCAGAGGAGTCGCCCCCTGCTGGCAGAATGCAGGTTTAAGGCATTTCTACAAGTGATTTTATGCACAGTCGACAAGAGAAACACCTGTTGTTAAATATCAGACATTTTAAAAGTGACCTGTTATTGCAGTGAGTAAATAACCACCAGATAATAAATCTAAAACAAGACCATTAACCAACAACAGGTCATAAGTAAACCATGTAGGGTTAGCTCGTGTTTTAGCCACATGCTAAATTTTAGACTTATTGTAGAAACTAAAAGATGCTAACTATCAGATCAAGGCTTTAACATGCTCTTGGCTACAATATCCCGTCAAAAGGAACAAATAGGTGAAAATTCCTTATAAAAGAACAGATGTGAACAAGCCCTGACTCTGACATGTAACTGTCGAGCATGAGATGCTAAAGGTTAATTTAGCACACCTGGGTCCACCAGCTAAGTTTTTATTCCTTGCATTCTTATCAAGGATGGATAGATTTTATTGCACTTGGTCCTTGGACCACAGCACTGTCACAGTATTAGTAAAATATGCAGGAACTACAGAGCTGCATTCAGCCTCTAACACCCTCTGTGATATCGGTGCAATGATTCTGGTCGTGCGGTAAACCAGCGCTTGCAGCTGATGTGTTTTCTGCATGTGTCGCTGTTTGATGGTGCACATTTTCCCTCTCTTCTACCTACACATACTCTTCCTCCCTCCTTTCTCCCTCTCTACGGTTTCTACCTCCTCCATCCATCCATCCATCCATCCATCCATCCAAGCAGCCTTTCTGGACACAACACCTCCCCCTCCTTCCTCCTCCTCTTTCTACAGCAACATAGCAGAGGATTAGAAGAAACTAATACTTCATCGGTGACATTAACCAAAGCTTCGTCTGTTCAGAGGGGAGATCAGCAGCGGATCCCTCGGCTGTCAGACGCAGAGGAATGATAATTAGAAAAAGATTGACTCGGCAGCAAGAAGAGGAGAGGATCCGGCCTGCAGCAGCAGCGAGGCGAGCAGAGGAATACGTGAAGACGGAGAGCGAGAACAGAAGGAGGGATTGAAGTGATCGTAATCTGGTGAAGAGGAAGAAGAAGAGAGCGAAACCTCGGAGCATCAGCAGCACTTCTTTTTTTTTTTTTTTTTTTTTTTCTGAGAGAGATGATGGTGACAGCAGCGTCAGCGAAGGAGGGGAGAGAGGGATGAGCTTGGATCAATAATCCTCCCTCCTCCTCCACCTTCATCCCTCCATCACCTCTGCAGGAGCCGCTGAAACCTGTGAGACTCCTTTTTGTTTTGTTTTTTCTGGGTGCTGCATCGTGTGTGTGTGTGTCAGTGAGTGTGCGCTCTCATATGTGTGTCATGTGCATGTAGCTGTTGACTATATAGGCCACACAGACCATTATTGTGTGTGTAGCCTGTTTTTTAACTGTGCATATGCTGCACATGTTCGTGTGTATGTTTGCATGTGCTTCACGTGTGTGTGTGCGCGTGCAAGTGGAATGAGGCTGTTGGATGTGAAATGTGTGGGTTGTAAGAACTTGTGTGTTTGTGGCAAATAACATGACTGAAAGTGGCCAATTAAAATAGTCCCGCTGCTGTTAAATAAGATCGAAATTATGTAAAAGATCATAGAGGAAAAAGGGTTCAGGCCGCCCACACATCGATGAATTGTGTGCACATGCAGAGCAAAGAGTGAAGATTGATTTCAGTGTAAGATTTAGAACTCAGAAATAGGATTATGTCACACAGTAAATGACTGTTTTTCTGCTATTTCTTAAGCATTTCCCCATGAAACCAGTGCACAATAACAAAGATTTATGGAAATACTTAGAATTCATCAGCGATTTTAGAAACTGTAGTTTAACGAGATCAGGCTGGGCTACCGTACCTCCACCAAGGCATTTCCTCCATGTCCGGCGTGAATGGATCCAGATTAGACCATTAAAAGTTAAAATTTGAAAAAATGCCTGAATCCACTTCCCATAATTCTGTACAATAACAATAAAGGTCTATTTCTGATCCTAATTTAGGCAAAGCCTCACTTCTAGAAACATGTCGTCTATGTCAGTCTTGAACATTTTGAGATTTCTTTCTGAAAACCCAACAAATTGAACCAATCCTGTGATCTCCATGGTGAAGGCAGGAAAAATAAAATTCAGAGCAGCTGATACCATAACACCCTGATTTCATCTGATGACGCAGTGCCAGGTTAGTTCTTGGATGAGGGGCTGCCTGGAAATACCAGGTGTTGTGATAGGCTGGCAACCTGTGCAGGTGTACACCACCCAGCCCCACCGCAGCGCTGTGATGGATACGCTGTTAAGAAAATAAATGTAATGAATTACTTTTCTGTATTTTCATGTAGTTCACCATTCAAGAATAAAACAGGTTGTTTCCACTTGTTGAGACTCTTGTCAACCATAGTTAAAAATTCTCCTACAGCAAAGATTTATAACGAGCACGTAGGTCGTGATGGTGCGCGGCTCTTGACTTACATTGTGAAGCATCTTGTAAACCAGCGCTATATAAATTTCATTAAATTGCGTTGCAGAAACACTGAGAGCTACAATCAGGGTAATTGTGCCACCATCAGTGCTAACTGTGTATCCTCCTCCTGCTGGTTATGAGTAGGCCTGCACCACCCATACGACACGTAGCCTGCCTTGTTATTCGCAGAAAAACACAGTTTAAAACACAACAAGTGCAGCAACAGTAAAAGTAACACAAACCTTGGTGCACTCTCTTACACCAGACTCACAATACCCAGATACAGTTTGTATTTTAAGGCGCTTGGAAAGAAGTGTCTCATCCGAGAAGCTTCTTCAACACACTGAGAGGTGAAACATCTTCAAGAAACTTAAAGAAGTCCAGACGCTTTTCTTTCCAAGCTCCTTAGACTACAATGACCAGGATGACTGAGAACCTTCACAGACTTATGTATCCAGGTTTGTTTGTTTTTTCCTCCTCCTTCTTTTTTCAGCTTCTCC